GAACGCTCGGTGTGAACTAACCCAACCCAACCCAACCCAACCCAACCCTTTTTTTTTTTTTGCCCAAAGGAGGAGAAAATGCATTGCGCACCCCGGCCTACTGTTGGGGCTACTCCTGATGTTCGGATTGTCACATATTTCGGCCGGGAGTGTGGGACTACGTTAAGCCCCCCGCTACCCACTAAAAACTCCCCCTCTCTTCCCGGAACCGCCCATCTGGGCATTTCTTCGGGGTATCTGTGTCTCTCCTTCGCTTTCCTCCATCATGCTGCATGGTCTGGATCTTTCTCTCTCATCATCTGTCACTTCTCTCTGCTCTCCTTTCCGTCTCTCGCCCTTCCTGGTTTCCTTACTGCCTTCGTTCTTGTCTCGTTGATCCATTTCATAACATATGAGCGTTTTACTTTTTGAATTTTGTTTCATGCTACACATACCTGGAAGAGGGGGAAACGCTTTCCCCCTCTTTTATCCTCTTCAAAGACCGGTACCCTCCTATGACCTCGCTCTCTTTTCTTTTCTTTTCTTTCCCTCCATCCTCACCTCGTCATCACCTCCCTCCTCCTCGCTTCTCGATCCCTTCCGCAATTTTTTTTCCCATGATATACCCGAAGGCAACAAAAATAAATAAAACAAAATATATTACTTTTTGTTTAACTATCATTTCACTTACATACCCGGAAGAGGGAGGCAAGAAAGATTTCTTTGCCCCCCTCTAACATCTTCTTCCGTGTCTACTTCGGCTTCAGGCGCTTCATCCTTTTTCATTTTGTCTTCCTCTTCGATTTTGGCTTTCATGACAGTTCTCAAGAAGCACATCAGTGCCTCCGCATCTTCTTCTCTCTCGATCAATAGATCTGCTACATTGTTCTTATTCAGTTGCTTGCTTATTTTCTTTTCAACCTGTCGTCTTACTTCCTGAAACCTGGCGCAATGGAAAATCGTATGCTCCGGAGTGTCTTGCACGCCACAACCATACCAGCATTCGTCGGATGTGAGTTTATTTATTTCTTTCAAGTACTTTCCGAAACTGCCATGACCGGTGATCGCTTGCGTTGTGTAGTAGTCTGTAACCGGTCCCTTATCTTTCCATTCGGCAACTTTTCTAATAAAAACTCTTGCCCAACCCTCGTATTGTTGCCACCTTTGCTGCCATCTTTCCAATACTTGCATACGCAACTCCTCTTTCGACTCTTTTCCCTTCTCCCAGCCCCTTGATCTCTCCCATACCAGGAGGTCCAGCGGTATACAGCCTGCGAGGGCGCCAACCGCATCCGTTGACACCGTGCGGTATGCCGACGTTATCGCTATCGTATATTTTCGCTCTATACTGCGAATCATATTGGCGTATTTCTTATACTTCAGAGTATCTTCCCATACCGGAGCGGCATACAAGATCACCGAAGCAACTGTTGAGGCTAGGATTCTTCTCTTTTTATGAGAGGGGCCACCTACTTTGGGCATTAGTTTACATAGCGAATTTTGTATCTTAGCCGCTCTCTCTGCTATCTTCTTCATATGAGCCGTCATCCTCAGGTCTTTGTCCAGGGTAACTCCCAAATATGTCACCAGCTCTTTACTTTCTATCATGGTATCGCCTACATTTATTTGGATCTTTTTTACTGTCCTTCTGCCCTCTAGTACTACTATTTCTGTTTTCGACACTTCCATTTTTAGACCCATACTCGACAGACACTCTGCCACTCTTCTTACTGCATATTGTGCTTTATCTGTTATTATTTCGGCTGTTGGTCCCTCTATTATCAGCGCCAGATCGTCCGCATACCCGATCACACTCACTCCCTTTTCTTGTTTCAGGGTCAATATCTTATTATAGTATAAATTCCACAGGGTTCCTCCCACTACTGAACCCTGTGGCACACCACAGCTCATCGGGCGTTCTTCTCCGTTTGGAAGGAAAATCTTTCTATCTGATAAGTATGTAAATAAGAGGCTTTTGATTGCCGTTGTTACCTTTGTTTCTTCGAGGGCTCTCTTTACCTCTCTCCACGGGACAGAGTTGAATGCGTTCTTTACATCTATTAGGGTCATTGCACTGAAGCCTCTATGTGTTAGTGATATCCTCCTTCGTTCCATCACCATCCTCTTCACCGTCATCACCGCATCCACCGTGCTCATCCCCTTCCTGTATGCGAATTGTCTATCACTAATAGCACCTTCTTCCTCTAATTGTCTGTTCAATCTTCCGTTTATCATCCTCTCCAACAACTTTCCTACAGTGCTTAACAAGCAAATGGGACGATATGATTTCGGCTGCTCTGGTTTCTTAGGCTTCTCTATCAATATTAGTCTTGCTTCCCTCCAAATTTTCGGGAACACACCTGTTTTCAGACAATCATTGAACACCCTCAGAAAAACTTCCGGATTCGCCTGCACGCAGGCTTTTAAAACCTCGTTTGTGATATTATCCTTTCCGGGAGCTTTCCTTGGCTTGAGTTGTCCGAGAGCTATCATTATTTCTTCTGCCGTAAACGGATCATCGTGCTCATTTATCTGTAGTGGCCGTTCTTCTCTGCCTATTTCCTCCCGAACCATAGGGAACAGTTTTTTGTACTGCTGGTGTATTGTCTCTTCATCTAGCCTTCCCTCGTGTCGGGTTCCAAGTCTCTTAGTTAATAACTGATAGGCAGTGCCCCAAACGTTTTGTTCAAGCTCCTCGCAGAGACTTTTCCATTTCTTTTCCTTCGATCTTTTAATCATAACTGTCAAGTGTTTCTTTGCCTTCTTGTATCTTTCTGTTATCTCTGCCTTTACATCCACGTTTCCTTCCCTATTTCTCCGCTGCATTTGTCTTCGTATACATTCCTTCCTAGCTTCCGCTATTTCCGGTGACCACCAGTACTTGGATTTCCTACCATTATTCTTTGCAGCTCTTTTTCCGAATGTTGTATCGTATGCCATTGTAATTCCTTCGATGAGTCGCTCCGGGTTGGGATCTCTACAAATTTGCTTCTTAAAATTCCTTTTGAGAAGCTCCATCTTCTCGACGTTTACATTCCAACCCTTCATTTCGTTTTCAATTCCCGCCATTTCTGACGAGGGTGATTTACGTCTCATTTTAATAAGGAAGGAAATAAGGACGTGGTCGCTGAGCGTCTCGACCTGATCTTTCACCTGCCATTCTTTTATTGAATTCACCACATCCTCATTTACGAAGGTCAAATCAATTACAGAGGATCCCCTTACTCCCCTATAGGTTGCAATACCCGGTTCATTTACCAGTACCAATCTATTTCCTGCTGCCCATTCCTCCAGAATCTGTCCCCTTTTTGTATGCAAGTTGTCACCTGCCATTCGTGTTCTCGCGTTAAAATCGCCGCATATCACCTTCGGTTTGCTACTTTCTCTCAAGTTTCGTTCTAGTTGGTCGAGCCATTCTTCAAACTCGGTATCTGTTCTGTTCGGCGAAAAATATACCGACCATAAATCGAATTCGTCAAAGCTCACTCCGAGTGCGCCTGTTCCCCTTATCCATCTTTTCGGCCTTATTTCGTTATTTAGTATCTGTATAAAAACATCCCTTCTCTCATCTGTCCTCATTTTTTCGGCTCTCCTTATGTTTGGCTCTTGTCCCACTACCACACTCGCACCGTGCTTCCATGCAGTTTCTTCCAGGAGGTCGTGCACGTCCCACCTCCTGTTACAATTTAATTGCATTACTTTGAATCCTGACATCTAGGCGACTTCTCCGCGGAGCAGGGCTCTGTGGGGCTTTGTCTGCCTTTCTTTTCGTCTTTCCTCGCTTGCTTCTTTTTTCTAGTTACCTCTGTGAACTTAATCTCATCCTCTTCCCCCTCCTTGGGCTGATCCTTTTCGTTTTCTCGCTTTTTTTCTTCGCTTTCTTCCTCCTTCCTCTCATCTCTCTCATTCGTCGGGCATTCCTCAAGCGTTTCTTCCTTTCCCTCTTTCATCTTGTTTCTGTATTCTGGGCACACATTTGTACTTGCTCTGTGTCCTACCCTTTTGCAGTCTGGACATCGTGGTTCGCTCTTGCAGTCCTTCGCTTTATGGTCTTGACCCCCACAATTAAAACACCACGTACTCCTATCTTCTCGACAACAATCCCTAGCTAAGTGTGTTGGTGACCAGCATCTAGAGCATTTCTTTAACCCCTTCCTCTCTTCCACCTGGCACATGGTCAGTCCTACCCGTACTTTCTTCTCATTCAGCATTTGGTCTGCTGCTGCCTTTTCCATCTCAACTGTTATCGCCTTCATGTATCTAGCGTATGGTCTCAAATTACTGGTCTTAAACTCTATTTCTTGGCCCACCGTGTTTCTAATGGCTTCTTCTACATCTTTTATTTCGGCGGCTAACGTCATCCCTTTTATATTTATCGTTTTCGCCTCCTTTCCCCTCATACCTCTAACTGTTATTTTATGTCCCTCCTGTTCTCTTAAAATCTTCTGTATCGCATTTGTTCCTTTTTCATCTTTCTTTGTCATGATTAACACACGTCCATCTCTCGTTTGTCTTACACCCTCGATAATTTCCATTTCTTTCCTTCCCTGCATTTGCATCTTTATCCTCATTACTGTTTCCTCATACGTTTTTCCCTCGTTCTGAACTATTAAGGCGTACGTCGTTCTGTTTTTCGACCTCTCTTCTTCCTGTCTCTTTGACGTAGTATATATTTCTATAATACTCCCCGTCGACTTGAACAGCACCTCCAACATTGTTCTCATTTTATGCAGTGTCATTCCTTTCACATGGTGCATTGCTACCTTTTCTTCCCCTTTCAGGGTCTCCCGTACCTTTTCTAAATTCTCCCATGTTTCTCTTTCTGTCTTTCCCACCAGTACTTTTACAATTCTCTCCCTATCCTCCTTCGTTCTTCCTCTGACTTTCAGTGCTTTCGTCACTTCCACTTCCTCACAGGTCTCATTTAAATCTTCCAGAACAGGGTATGCTCTTTTATACTAGAGCTGAATGCCTTTATTCATACTTATGTCATCCGACTCAATCAATACTACTCAATACTACGCAAGCCCGGGGGCGGACCCAACCCAACCTAACCCTTTTTTTTTTTTTTTTTNCCGCGTTCTTTGTTCTTCTCCTTCTCTTTTTTCTTAGTAACAAATAACACACAAAGATAAAACAACAGTAAGAAAACACTGTCACTGAATCTAATTCCACATGCACAATACGATCACCAGCAAAAGCGCTTATCACAGAAACATTTTTCGTACTATCAAAAATATCACATTTCTTATCACAGTATCTTATTTCTACTTTTGTCTTTTGTTCACAGCCAATTATGAGATCGATTCTATTTTCTATCAGCCAGTCTTCTAATACTATTCCCCTCTCGTTGGCATTTAACGAACCAATAACTTTAGTTTTGGCGTTAAGGGCCGCATTTAATGTTCTTTTTTTAGTCGCCATTTTATTAACTTATATACATATCTCAATCATCGCCCTCTCATTTTGTTTTTTTCAGGTATTTATTCCTTTCGGAACTGCCCTCATCGCACATACTTTTTATATTTTGATGCTTTATGTCTTGGTTTTCAGGAGAACTTTCTGAGGTACTTCCGACGGATTTCTCTTTTCTCTTTCCTTTTTTCTTTTTAGTGACCACCATAAACTCTTGGGATTCCCTATTAGATTTCCCTTGACCTCCCTCAGTGCTCCGTTCTACATTATTTTTTCCTTCCATCCCTCCTACTTTTTCATTATGCTGCTGTACGCTTTCCGTTATCTCTTGTACTTCCATACTTTCACCTTCACCCGTATCTGTCACTTTTTCTTTCTGCTTTTCTCTCTCTTTTTTCTCTCTCCCATCTTTTGGTTCGTTTTCCTTCTTTCGATCGTACTCATTTCTTTTCGTTTTCCTCTCCACTACTGTCTTCCTGTATTCAGGACATTCTCTTGTACCTGCTCTATGTCCGTCTATTTTACAGTCCGGACACCACTTCTCATTCTTACACTCCTTCGCCTGGTGGTCACTTTTCCCGCAGTTTAAGCACCATCTGCTTCGGTCTTCGCCCGTACAATCTTTAGCTAGATGTGTTGTCGACCAGCATCTTATACATCTCTTTTCAATTACCCTCATTTCCACGTGGCACATTGTTAATCCCACTCTTAATCCTTTTTCCTTTATAAGCATCTTAGCTCCTTCCCTGCTGATTTCAACCGTTATAGCTTTCATATAGTCGGCGTAAGGTCTCATCTTGCTTAGTTTAAATTCAAGGATTCCACCGGTTTTTTGTTCTATGGCTTTTTTCACATCCTCTATTTCTGTAGCTATCGTCATCCCCTTAATGTTGATCGTTGTGGTTTCTTCTCTATTACCTCCCTCGGTAATTGTCTGCCCGCCTCTCTCTTCAAGAATTCTTTTTATTTTCTCTGTATTTTCCTTATCTTTCTTTGTTGTTATCAACACTCTTCCATCTCTTGTCTTTCTTATGTTTTCTATTACTTCTGCCTCATTTCTTCCCTGTATCTGTTCTTTAATTGTCTTCACCGTTTCTTCGTATGTCTTTCCTTTACTCTGAACTATTAGAGCGTACGTTGACCTTCCTTTTGTCATCTTTTCTTTTTCTAGTTTTTTTTGCTGTGGTATATATCTGTATTTCAGTTTTTTCTGATCTGAACATTATTTCTACCATTGTTCTTAGCCTTTGTAGCGACATGCTCTTTATATGATGGATCGCTATTTTATCGTCACCTTTCAAAATATCTCGCGCACTTTCCAGATTTTTCCACATCTCCTTCTCATCTTTTCCGACTTCCACTTTGACAATCCTTTCTTTCTCGCCCGTAGTTATCCCCCTTACTTTCAACTCTTTCGTTATAACCACTTCCTCACAATCACCTTTTAGTTCTTCTAATATCGGGTATACTCTTTTGTACTGTAACTGAATACCTTTATTCATACTCGCGTCATCAGGTTCGATTAGCACTATTTTTGAGGTTATGGTTTTGTCCCATAGCGGATTTCCCTCTATTATATTAACATTTTTAAAATATCCCTCCTCTCAATTCCACTCAGCGACTTCTGTCCATTCTTCAAACGATCTTGCCTTATTTATCTTTTCTTTCTTTTCTCTTTCTTTTTTCTCCTTCTCCTCCCCTCCCTGTGTCGTTTGTGTCTCCTGTGTTTTAACTTCTTTTCTCTCAGCTCGACTCAGCCATTCCGATATTTCATCTCTGTTCATTATTCTCGCTAACCTTTCCATCTTTATAGTCACATCTTTTATTTCTCGTTTCGTATTCTGTTCTATATTTTGTCTTAGAACTTCTATCAACCTCAACATCTCTTCATTTGTCTTCCTCAGCACCATTGCTTGCTCGCTCGCATCTATTTCTCCTCTGTCCTCCATTCTTTTCCTCTTCTTTCCTTCATTCATAGATGAATTACTACTGAACGACCATGTTCTCACTTTTTTCGGTGTTTCCTTATCTAGTCCCGTGTCCGTTGCCTCCTCCAATTCTCCCTGCTCCTCATTAAGCATCTGCTGTATCATGGTTCTATTCAAACCTTCTTCCTCTTCAGATGACGATATGTCACCGGGGGGCGTTTTCGGTGGTGAACGGCCCATTAATGTGCTTCGTCTAAAGACGAGCTCCTTTTCTTCGCCTTTGCTGGAAAGGCCCTGTACTTTACGGTCTATGTAGTCGCGCGAGCTCGACCCTTTCTCGCGTGCAGTCCGCGGCCCTGTTTGTCCTGCGGACCCATCCGAGGCTTTTGTGTTTGATTCCACAATTACCATACGTGGAGATGTCAAGCGCCTACCTTACGCCCCGTTTTTTACCTACCGGCAGGTATACAATCACGCATGACTTCACTATTACTCCACACTACACCGAACACAAACATTTAGTCCTGTGTCCCTCGTATCTCCAGACAGGGGCTTTTTGGGATATCGCCGTCCAGGATCACACGGCCCCATGTTGGCTTTTGGTCCGCGCCGGGTATTTTATTTCCCCGGTACCCCCCGCGCATGCTAAGTGCAATGCATGCGCAGTGAGCTTTCCCCTATCCGTCACCTGGGGACGCGTCCGATTGGGGGAGCCACCCCCATCCCCCGGGCAAGCCCGGGGGCGGAAACCCAACCCAACCCAACCCAACCCTTTTTTTTTTTTTGCGAGGTCGGGGAAAATCTGCGAGCAAACATCTGGCCTGTGGTGTTGGACGGCCAGATAGTGTGGGGTTGGGGCTAAATAACCCCGACCCACTAAAAACCCCTTTCCTCGTCTTCTCTCCGGAATCCGCTGAAATTGCGTTTCTTCGGAGTGCCTGACATCGCCTTGCCTCTAGGGTGTTGTAGCGTTACCATCCGCCATCTCGCGCCATATAACAAAATAGAAACATAGGACTCCATTATTTTTTGCAAGAGCCTTTATTTTTAACATACCCGGTGTGTGGGGGGGGTGGTGGTAGTTGAAATCCTCCCCACTCCTCTTCTTCGTCGTTGTCACTTACTCTAGTTGCATCCGTTCGGGCTGCCTGGCTTGTTAGATCAGGATGTCCTCCCGTAGCACATAAAAAATCATATGACCACGTTATTTTATGTTTAAGTTGTTATCTTTTTACATACCCGCTTAGGGGGGTTTCTTGATAACCCCCCCCCCCTCTCTTCCCGGGCATTTCCTCGGGGTATTTCCTTTTCTTCCATCTTGTGCCTTCTCTCTCGTCTATCTCGGTCTCTCCCTCTCATCTTTGTCGGGCTCTCCCTCTCGTCCATCTCGGGCTCTCTCCACTTCATCTCCGCATCGGCAACAAATGTAAAATAACAGAGTTTAACTTTTTGAAATATTCTTTCTCAAAAACTCACCCACGACCAGGGGAGGTAGAAAGCTAATTCTCCTCCCCTGTGACTCCTCGTCTCATTCTTCATCGCTCCCACCTCGTCTCGCAGCTTACTCGTCTCCAATCCGTCTCCACCATTATGCAAAACAAAAGGACATCAACTTTTTGAAATATTCCCTTCCAAAAACTCACCCACGACCAGGGGAGGTAGAAAGCTAATTCTCCTCCCCTGTCACTCCCTATCTCCTCCTTCTCCACTTCTTGCTCGCTTGACACCTTACGTCTATCTTCATTCCACGTCGTCCAGGATTTCCTCTTCAGGTCTCCCTTTCTTGTTCTTCGTCTTTCCTTTGGGTAGCTATCTTTTGTCTCTCTGGCGTTCTTCTAGCTCTTTCTCTTTCATTATTGTACGTAGTAGCTGCATCACCACTTCGTTGTCTTTCTTACTACGTATTATCAATTCCGATATGTTTTCTTCTGTAACCCTATCTTTTACTTTTTCTTCTGCAATTCTTCTTTGTTGTTCGAACCTTTTGCATTCAAATACCGTATGACGCGGCGTATCCCTCTTGTTACAACCAAACCAACACATGTCTGATTCGGTCTTTTTTATTTCTTTCAAATAGCTTACGAATACCCCATGTCCAGTGATGGCCTGTGTAACGTAATAATCCGTCTGCGGGGCGACCTGTCTCCAGATACGGACATCTCTAATTAAATTTTTGGCCCAACCATTGTATTCGTCCCACCTCTGTTGCCATCTCTGGAGCACTTCCTGTCTGTGTTTTTCTCTCTGCGTACCTTTTGTCTCCCAGTTTTTCGTTCTTTCCCAGACTAGGAGGTCTAGTGGTGGACATCCAGCCAGCGCACTCGTCGCTTCGGTTGATGCCGTTCGGTATGCCGACGTCACTGTTATAGATA